GGGGGGTGGAGGGCAGCTGTACCTGTGGACACAAGGTAAACATCCTGTCTGGCAGACTGCCACGTGCAACCCACAGGTTGTCCACCATTGAGTTACGCTGTTGCAAACCCACTGATCTAGTCACACCAGTGCAAGTTTTCATGGCAGTAGAGTTAAGCCTTAGAGCTAAGCCTACTTTACATGATGCTTTAGAGCAGGGCTGGGGAACCTCCAGCTAGGTGAGATCTTGGCCACCTGCTTAATTTGATCCAACCCATGGCAAGTCTGTGGCATGGGTCAGGAGCCCCGAGCCTTTGTGCTACCCGCCTATGCAGGGCTGGAACACGAGCAGAGGAGAATGCAACCCATGCTGAGTCATCTGCTTCCCCCAGACACATACCAAATGAGAGCTGGCCCAGGAAAGTGTCTTGCACCACAATACCCTACCCCAGCCCTAAGGCCCCTCCCACACCCTGCTCCCTCTCCCCAACCTCCTGTGCGTAGACCCCTCCTGTACTCCAAAGCCACTGGCTCCACCCTGGAGCTCCCTCCTCCACCCCAAAAGCCTCTTTACCAACCCTACCTCAGAGTTTGCACCCTCCTCACCCCCTCCCAGCCACAACCTCCCAGCTCCCTCCTACCCTCTGAACCTCTCATTTTTGGCCCCACCCAAGAGCTTAAGGGGTCCCACAAAATCTAACAGTTCTGGGGCCCTAGGAGAGTGATTCTAGCCCTGATTACAGGTGAGTTGAGTGAGGGTATTTTTTTGTTTTGCTTTGCTTGGATATGACCCCCCCAACTGTTTTTTCTGTGGGTCAGTGGTAAAATAAAGGCTCCCCCCTCGGGATGTAATAGTGCAGTCAATCAACTGATAAGCAAAAGCTTATTGGTTAATGCTACAGTCTCCACACATTTCCCTCCCTACACCCTTGCCAGACATTTTTTTTAGCAGGTTGGCCAGAAGTCCAGCTCAGTCCTGGCTTGCACTGGGTCTGGAACCTACCCCACTGCAGCTCTGCATTGAAAGCATATTAGGAGCTGGGCAAGCAGGCAGCCTGGCTCAGTTCCAGCTCACGCCGGATCCAGGAGCTCAGACCCTCTCCCCCCGGTCCCTGGACAGGGACTGCTTGCTGCCTATATCAGAGGCAGCAGCACAGGGCGACAGGGCAGCCAGTCCACGAGTGGAGCTGGTTTTAAACTGGCTCCCCTCACGGACCTTCTCCCGCCTAGCACCTTGTGTGGCTGCCTCTGATACAGAGGCAACAGCAGCGCAGGGGGGCTCCTCGGGAGTGGGGCTGGCGCGCACTGGCTGCCGGCCCCAACCCCGGGGATTACAGAATAGCCAAGTAACTGATAAGAATTCATAAGGTTTCTTGACTATTCAATCAACAGATATTTAACATCCCTACTCCCCACCTGTATCAGTTATCAACAGGTCCCCATCCACTGAATAAAGCTTTGACATACTGGAGACTAAGACGAGCATACAAGGTCTTTAAGAAACACACTATAAACACCCAGCCAACTACAGATAAGACAAATCAGCAGATTCAAACTTAACATTAAAACTCCAATGATTTAAAACTCTGTGAGCCAAAAGGTTGTATCTAAGAAAATCCTCTGAACTAGCTCTCCAACACTATTTCCAAAAAAGGAGACTGTTAAATGTTGTTTTCTGATAAACTGTGTCCTTATAATACCTCGTCAGGATGTACAAAGAGAAGCAAAATAAGCCAACTGTTACTAAATCATTAGCTACAAACTAAGTTATGGACAGCATCCGCCATTAAATTAATCGTCTAGCTTGAACTTCAGCACAATTCTGCGCAAGCATCGTCTGCAAACTGACTTTTGCTTTACAGTGCTTGACACTGTGCTGACTGTATAAGAGACCAGTACCTTCCAATCTTTGAATTTTCGCTTTCACCGAAATCACAGTTTCAAAGGGAGACACTCGCAGCTCGAAGCAGGTTCCCGTCAGCGTTTCGATGAAGAGCTCCATCGTTTCATAGAAAGGGAGTTTGTAGTGAAGCTGCCCCACGTTGTCATCGTTGAAGAAAGGAGGTTCCTTCTTGTTGGCCATCCCCAGGGATTTACCAATTGCTGGCGGAAAGGGTCTTTGGGAAACGTCGTAGGCTCCCAGGTCCCAGCTGTAGCCGAGTCCGCTTTGCCAGCTGGTAGCGCATCGGGCTGTTCATGTTTCACAGGCTGCACCTAAAACACAATGCAACATACAAGGGTAAGGTGTCACAAGCTGCACTCACAACACAATGCAACATACAAGGGCAGCATGTCACAGGCCGCACTCAATGCAATGCAACACACAAGGGCAGCGTGTCACAGGCTGCACCCACAACACAACGCACAAGGGCAGCGTGTCACAGGCCGCACACACAACACAACACAACCCAACGCACAAGGGCAGCGTGCCACAGGCCGTACACACAACACAACACAACACAACCCAACGCACAAGGGCAGCGTGCCACAGGCCGTACACACAACACAACACAACACAACCCAACGCACAAGGGCAGCGTGCCACAGGCCGTACACACAACACAACACAACACAACCCAACGCACAAGGGCAGCGTGCCACAGGCCGTACACACAACACAACACAACACAACCCAACGCACAAGGGCAGCGTGCCACAGGCCGTACACATAACACAACGCACAAGGGCAGCGTGCCACAGGCCGTACACATAACACAACGCACAAGGGCAGCGTGCCACAGGCCGTACACATAACACAACGCACAAGGGCAGCGTGCCACAGGCCGTACACATAACACAACGCACAAGGGCAGCGTGCCACAGGCCGTACACATAACACAACGCACAAGGGCAGCGTGCCACAGGCCGTACACATAACACAACGCACAAGGGCAGCGTGCCACAGGCCGTACACATAACACAACGCACAAGGGCAGCGTGCCACAGGCCGTACACATAACACAACGCACAAGGGCAGCGTGCCACAGGCCGTACACATAACACAACGCACAAGGGCAGCGTGCCACAGGCCGTACACATAACACAACGCACAAGGGCAGCGTGCCACAGGCCGTACACATAACACAACGCACAAGGGCAGCGTGCCACAGGCCGTACACATAACACAACGCACAAGGGCAGCGTGCCACAGGCCGTACACATAACACAACGCACAAGGGCAGCGTGCCACAGGCCGTACACATAACACAACGCACAAGGGCAGCGTGCCACAGGCCGTACACATAACACAACGCACAAGGGCAGCGTGCCACAGGCCGTACACATAACACAACGCACAAGGGCAGCGTGCCACAGGCCGTACACATAACACAACGCACAAGGGCAGCGTGCCACAGGCCGTACACATAACACAACGCACAAGGGCAGCGTGCCACAGGCCGTACACATAACACAACGCACAAGGGCAGCGTGCCACAGGCCGTACACATAACACAACGCACAAGGGCAGCGTGCCACAGGCCGTACACATAACACAACGCACAAGGGCAGCGTGCCACAGGCCGTACACATAACACAACGCACAAGGGCAGCGTGCCACAGGCCGTACACATAACACAACGCACAAGGGCAGCGTGCCACAGGCCGTACACATAACACAACGCACAAGGGCAGCGTGCCACAGGCCGTACACATAACACAACGCACAAGGGCAGCGTGCCACAGGCCGTACACATAACACAACGCACAAGGGCAGCGTGCCACAGGCCGTACACATAACACAACGCACAAGGGCAGCGTGCCACAGGCCGTACACATAACACAACGCACAAGGGCAGCGTGCCACAGGCCGTACACATAACACAACGCACAAGGGCAGCGTGCCACAGGCCGTACACATAACACAACGCACAAGGGCAGCGTGCCACAGGCCGTACACATAACACAACGCACAAGGGCAGCGTGCCACAGGCCGTACACATAACACAACGCACAAGGGCAGCGTGCCACAGGCCGTACACATAACACAACGCACAAGGGCAGCGTGCCACAGGCCGTACACATAACACAACGCACAAGGGCAGCGTGCCACAGGCCGTACACATAACACAACGCACAAGGGCAGCGTGCCACAGGCCGTACACATAACACAACGCACAAGGGCAGCGTGCCACAGGCCGTACACATAACACAACGCACAAGGGCAGCGTGCCACAGGCCGTACACATAACACAACGCACAAGGGCAGCGTGCCACAGGCCGTACACATAACACAACGCACAAGGGCAGCGTGCCACAGGCCGTACACATAACACAACGCACAAGGGCAGCGTGCCACAGGCCGTACACATAACACAACGCACAAGGGCAGCGTGCCACAGGCCGTACACATAACACAACGCACAAGGGCAGCGTGCCACAGGCCGTACACATAACACAACGCACAAGGGCAGCGTGCCACAGGCCGTACACATAACACAACGCACAAGGGCAGCGTGCCACAGGCCGTACACATAACACAACGCACAAGGGCAGCGTGCCACAGGCCGTAAGCTTACGCAAAGCTCCCAAAAAGTAGTTACAAAGAAAATGAGTAGAGATGGGCACTCCCCCTTCCCCTACCGCTGTCAAATCTACTCTCCCCCAACTTGCACTATGGCCTGAACCCCCCACTCCAGTACAGGCAGAGCACAAAACCAACACTCCCACCTCCCCGGGCAGGATTTTACTAATGAGGATCAAAGTCAATGGCACCCAGAAATAAGAGATATCAGCTTAAGTCAAACTACACTTCTGTATGGAAGTATCCATTCATAAGACCAGCACAAACCGCCAGTGAAACCAGTCGTCGTTCAGTAGCTGATGGGTAAAAAAGAAGGGGCATTACAGAAAGTGTGAAAAGCAGGGCTAAGGGGCAGGGTAATAATCCCACTTCAACTCTTTAGTAGCAAGAAGCCAACATTTTCCTGTGACCAGTGAGTTTCTTTACCCAATGTGAAATTGACAAAACCTTGATGGTTAGCAAGTCCTGACCCCCTTTTTAGGGGATTTTTGAAATGGGCCTCGGAATGACTCCTCACACTCACAGGTCACAGCTTAAAAAAAAAAAAAAAGAGAGCACACCCAACTGCTAAAAAAATGACTGCAACAACAGTCCGAGGTGCGATTGAGGAAGAAAGGAATTTGGAGACAAAAGAGATAAAGTGTCCTTACCGCTGATATGCTGGCTATATAGGGAATTAAGAGAAAACAGGAGAAGGAGCCGGAGTCTGGGTTCGTGTGAAGCAGTCTCTACATCCACAACAGGGATTTGTCTTATCTCCATTTCTCTCAGAACAGAGGGAGATATCCTTATTTAGACACCCACTGTTGTGAGAAGCAGACAAATACCCACACATGTGGCTCTGATGGATGTAGAAAGAATGAAAAATCCACAAGCAACATGGTCCTCTTGTAGGAATCATGGCTGCTCACCCACCCAGGAGCATAAAACTAGCATAAGCAACAGAATTGCATCCCCAAAGTGTGACGCACCTGCTGTGCGCTGATATTTTACACAAATGACTGTATCAATATACCAAACTGCAAACTGTGTGTAATATTTTACAAAATATTCACCCACAAGTCTCAAACTCAAACTGTGCAGAGAACTGCGGCTCTAGCTTACAGCATCAACACCAGACATTTTGAAACTGGAAATTAATAGCTGCAAAATAAATGTGTACAAGGGCAGCTCTACTTTCAAGGCCCCTGGTATAGCGCCCTGAACCTGCCAAACCAAGTCTGTTTTCAGTAAGACATGGAACAGCTCACTGCACCCAGGAGAACCAAGAAACAAGACTGGTTTCTTGGCAACACAGTTTCATCAAAAAGAACAAGGCAGGAATAGTTAGCACCTGTTAATAAGTTAACTGCTTCACTTTAGACCGTGATTAGTTTGGCTTTTAAATTATTCACAAAAGTGAGAATCACTGCAGCATTTTGGCTTCACACCCAGTTAATATACTCAGCCTGGACTGAATGCGATTTCACACCGGCACAGACAATAAATACTCTCGAACACCCCATTTGGAATACTGCACAATGGGGATTTAAATATGCCACAGACCCTGGAGTCTACCCTTTCCAGAGTGAGTAGACCTGTATAAGCAGCAGTTAACGGATTACCAGTTAAAGTTCTTACAAGTGCAAGGTTAAAATTCGGGGGTTAACCTAGGCCAAGGTGGGCAAAAGGGCCTCCGAGGGCCAGATGAAGCTCGCCCAGCAGGTAGGGGGAAGAGCAGAGGAGGCTTCGTGTGTTCCCCTGCCCCCAGGCCAATCAGGTCCTGGGGGTGAAGGAGCTACATGAAGCTTCCTTTGCCCTGCCCTGCAAGTGGTCTGCAGCACTTCAGTGCCCCGAGCTCCTCGCAGGGCGGGAGGCGGCTTCAGGCACTCCCCTGATTGGCCTGAGGGTGAGGGAGCTTGCCAAGCCTCTTCCAGGAAATGGGTGCTTAGTGGGAAGGGGAGCAAAGGGGCTCCCCCACCCCCTGACCAATTTTTGAAGTAGCCCCCGGGCAAAAATTATTGCCCACCCGACGTAGGCGGAGCCAGCGGGCAAACCAGAGCAGACATAAAAATCTGGAGCGGCCGCATGAGCTTTTACTCCCATAGTAACTAGAGTTAACACGGCACCACGCATCCTCACCCCAACAAACCCGCAGAGGTAGGCTCTCCAGGGGCAAGGCAGGTTGGGGAGGGAGTGGGGTGGGAACTGCCCCATAGAGCAGGGGAGACCTTTCAGCTCTAGAGCTACCAAATTTACACTTGCAGTTGAAGAATAAACGCTTCAGGGCAGAGATGTTTTGGTCAGTGCATGGATGCTACCTAGCACAATGGGACTCTACTGCACTATTTAAACACTCTCTCAGCAACACCAAAAGATTAGGAATGGATGGGGGGGGGGAGGAGATTGTTGTGGTTTTCCTGAAGTCCCTTTCATAGAATACTAGGACTGGAAGGGACCTCGAGAGGTCATCGAGTCCAGTCCCCTGCCCTCATGGCAGGACCAAATACTGTCTAGACCATCCCTGATAGACATTTATCTCACCTACTCTTAAATATCTCCAGAGATGGGGATTCCACAACCTCCCTGGGCAATTTATTCCAATATTTGGCCACCCTGACAGTTAGGAACTTTTTCCTAATGTCCAACCTAAACCTCCCTTGCTGCAGTTTAAGCCCATTGCTTCTTGTTCTGTCCTCAGAGGCTAAGATGAACAAGTTTTCTCCCTTCTCTTTAGGACACCCTTTTAGATACCTGAAAACGGCTATCATGTCCCCCCTCAATCTTCTCTTTTCTAAACTAAACAAACCCAATTCTTTCAGTCTTCCTTCATAGGTCACGTTCTCTAGACCTTTAATCATTCTTGTTGCCCTTCTCTGGACCCTCTCCAATTTCTCGACATCTTTCTTGAAATGTTCTGCCCAGAACTGGACACAATACTCCAACGGAGGCCTAACCAGCGCAGAGCAGAGCGGAAGAATGACTCCTCATGTCTTGCTCACAACACACCTGTTAATACATCCCAGAATCATGTTTGCTTTTTGCAACAGCATCACACTGCTGACTCATATTTAACTCGTGGTCCACTACAACCCCTAGATCCCTTTCTGCCGTACTCCTTCCTAGACAGTCGCTTCCCATTCTGTATGTGTGAAACTGATTACTCCTTCCTAAGTGGAGCACTTTGCATTTGTCTTATCCTGTTTACCCCCGACCATTTCTCCAATTTGTCCTGGTCATTTTGAATTATGACCCTGTCCTCCAGATTAGTCGCAATCCCTCTCAGCTTGGTATAATCTGCAAACTTAATAAGCGTACTTTCTGTGCCAATATCTAAATCGTTGATGAAGATATTGAACAGAGCCGGTCCCAAAACAGACCCCTGCGGAATCCCACTTGTTATGCCTTTCCAGCAGGATTGAGAACCATTAATAACCACTCTGAGAACGGTTATCAGCCTTTAAAGCCTTTAATACAAGGGAAGGGAATGAAGGTGAAACTCCAGCCAGTCACATCTTCAGCCCTATGAGGCTTATGCATGAACCCTTCTGAGGACACGTCCTGCCATGACACCGCACAGGTATCAGGGCGGCCCCGCTAGCTCCGGTTGAAAACCAGCTCCACGAGGACGCCCACGTCCTCCCCCCCGCACATTTCAAACTGTCTCTATTATTCCCCTTCGTGTCAATGGCGCTGTCGCCACGGTAACAAGCACAACGCTTCACATTTGCGTTGCCGCTCCCCCCGCCGTTGCTGGCTTCTGTCCTCTAGACACGTTCTGAGCGGCCCTGTCAATCAAGCACGTTCAAGGGCTGGGAGGGCAGAAAGCCAGGAGCCCCAATTCCCGAGACCACCGCACAAGTTACAGACCACGGGGGGCTGAGCCTCCGTCACAAGGCTCACCCTCACAGGCATGGCTGTGGAGCGACTTGCTCGGAGCCCTCCTTCCTACGCGGACAGCGAAGGCGGAACGAGAAGTATTTTGATTCTGACACTGATGCAGCTCAGAAAGCAGAGAACAAAGGCAGGTTTTCACTACCGGGCTGGAGACAGGCTTTGACACTCGGCCTGCTCACAAAGGAAACCTTCCACACACCTCGCTTTGCTAGCACACACTAGCGCGCAGCAGGGACGTTACATTTCGATTCATCAGCTAATCGAGTAGTTGGAATTTCCATCGACTACTCAATAAAGGGGGGCGCTTGCTAGTCCTCTGCTCCCCTCCCTTGGAAATGCGAGACTGTTTCAATCCCCGCTCGCGCCGCTCCTCCCCTGCCCCCCATGGAGACAGTGTTGGGGGGAACAGGCTTTTAAGCTAGCTCCATCCCCTTGTGCTGCCTCTTTTTGATAGCGGGGGTGGGGGGAAGCCAATGGTCTAGTTCCTACTCTCTCTGGTTGACTGCAACGCTCCCTGAGATTCTATTATCCTGGGTGTTGGTAGCAACATGGCCATGTGGTGATGCTGTGCGTCAACTCCACATGAAGGGCTGAAGAGCAATGAGGCGCCAGCAGCACACAGCAAAAGGCCATTCCCTCACTTCCCAAAGGACCATGGCAGGCGAAGCCCGTAGCTGCAGGCTGCCGCAAGCGCTCAGACGCCAAATGGCCCACGCGCTGTTCTTTAGACAAGTGTCCTGCCCAAGTATGAAGCCGCCTCTAAGCCACGACGACATGCATCTGCCTTGAGCTCTTGCAATTTTCACGGGATGCTGGCCATTAAGCCTCAACACTTAACATGAACACTGCTAATTATTTCCTTGCTGATCACCCCACCCGCCCAGAACCCCTTTTCTTCCCCCGTCTATTCTGATCTTTCGTTGGCACTCAAAAGGCCCAATGCAGGGACGTCAACGTAACCTAGAGCAAGGGCGCCTGTGGAGTCTGGCCTAAGTGGTGACCGTCCTGAGATGTGAGGCAGCGGCTATTTCGCATTTCGAGGGCTCTTCGGGACTAGATCAGGGACAAGCTGGCAAACGTTCTGTCGCCGCTTGGAATGGCCAGTTCGGGAAGGAGCGCAAAATTCACACGCATCCAGCATCGATTCTCACGCGGTAGCGGGAGAGCTAAGTGGTGACCGGTCTTTTCAGCTTCGCATCTAGCTGAACTCTTGTTCACTCAGGCTCTCGCTCTCTCTCAACATCCAGAAGGAGGTCATCCCAAACGTGCTGGGTTGAAGTGGATTTTTACTCCCCCCTGGCATGCAGCCTGGGGCAGCGAGACGCAGACTCAGTTACCGACTCAGGGCTGCCTCGCAGATGGATGTTGAGTCACCAGGATTAGACGGTTACATGCCTGGGCCCTGGTTCTTAGAGAACACAGTAGATCCAGACACACGTAGGAGAGGAAGGCTCAAGCAGGAACATCCCATATTCCCTCTTTCGAAATACACCACAACACTGCCCACCCACATCGACTGCACCGGGTTCTGCTTTCTAGTCGCATTATCCCACTAGGAGGCTTTCAACTGGGGAACAGCCAAAAGCCCCGCATTAAAAGAACACAAAGGTTGTGAAGTCCAGCACTCGGAAGTTAGGCAATCGAGAAGGGAGTTAACGCCTCCCTTTCCTGCACAGGCACCAGCAGAGGGCGCCAGGAGACACTCTTCCGGTTCTCAGTTCTGGAGTTCAAGCACCAGGAGGAGAAACAGTTGAAGGGAAGTCCTGGAGCTGGAACACACTCAGTCGCCATGGCGATGGCCAGTCCCGTCACGTATAGGAGATCGGGAGGGGCTGGACCATGTTTCTAGTGGTGCACGTTCAGCAGCTGCTTGTTCGAGGCATAGCACAGGGCCTAATCTGGGCACATTTGCCAGCGGGACAGTGAAAAGCACATGCGGCACCAGGGCGCCTCCCCTGCCCAAGTCTGAAACTTACCTCAATCCCGTATTTTTTCAGCAGCTAATAGCCGCTGGCAAAGTCATAGGCAAAAATGTGTTTGCCCTTCCTCTAGCATCCCAGGGCACTCTCTCTTCCTGGAGCATTTATCGGTTAAATCCAAGAGGCTCCAATCGGCAAAAGACCAGAGGTCAAGCCGCTCCCGGAACCGACATGAGCTTCCAGGATGCGCCCAGCAGATCGTGACTCAGTGGAGAGATGTGGAATGGGCCTTCTCCATTTTTGGTGCTGGAGGAAGAGGCTGCTCGCAAATCAAGCAGAAAGCAAGACAGGCACGGCTAGACTGGATTTAGCAGACAGCATTTACTGTTTCACAATCTCAGTGATTTTACCCCTCCCCCCCATAAATCTGTTCAATAAAAGAACTTACACTTTGTGGAATAGATTACATTATCATGGGTATTGCACAGGCGATGTCCTCTGGGCAGGACTGCAGAAAGTTACGAAGGGAGAGAGTCTTTTTTACAGTGTTAAGCATGATTAGACGGAGGTCAGGGAAGAAATACTAACCCTGTAAAGCGGAAAGCCATTCAATCGGAATGTCCATGATCGTCCGATTCTCTGCCCAAACCGTCAACAGAAGAGCACGATTCCGGGACAAGAAAAGCCACATGCAGAGGGCCCTCTCCCTCTGCAACGCCACCACTGTCTACTGGCCTCCCAAGGCATTTAGTGGGTCATCAAACGTACTCGATGCCTTGCTCTCCGATTTCGCTTCGGAGGCTGCCAGAGAGGGCCGGCCTTTGGGGGTGGAGGCCTTGGCTGGGCTGCGAGCGGAGAAGATATCATCTAGAGAGAGAAAACCAGCAATTGAAACGGAGAGAAAGCGCTGCCGGGTGCGAGAGAAGAGCCCCACACACAGTGGGACTGCCAAGGACACTCTGCAGATAAACCAACGCTTCCCTGCCGCCTGTGACGTGTAACTACACTTGTGAGGGCGTAGAAGGGAGCTTTTTGCCAGGTAGAGTCAGAGAAAGAATAAACCCTCCTAATACTTGGCATTTATTCCCGACAGAGGTCTCAAGCTCCAGGCAAGCACCACCTAAGTGGTTTTCAAGTCCTTTTTTTCGTGGACCACTTGAAAATTGCGGAGGATCTCGGCAGATCACTTAGTGACGCTTCCAAATGCCGCTTGCGCCATTAGCTCCCTATCGTAAAGCGCTTTGGATAAACGTGCCATATAAAAACATAAATCGAAGCACACGACTCATATTTTAGTACCAGGAGGGATCTCCCCCCCACCACAGCAGCCCCTCAGCTAGGCGGGAAAGGAAGGGCGGTCACGCCCTCGCAGCTGCAGCTGAGGGAAAACTGCCTCTTTTTCTGGCTGCCGCGGCCCTGCACATGCCAAATTTCCCCCCACCTCCTCACACTGCCCTGCCTATTTCCCCACCTCATCCTAGCATCCCTCCGCACCAACTCCCTATTTCCCCCAAATGCTGAGTCTGGCAATACACAGAGGTCACTCAACTTCTCCACCCCTCCCCCAGCACCGCACAAGCAGCCAACGGCACAGCTGGGAGAGGATTTTGACGCACCGCTGGTCCGGGGCTGTAGAACCATTAAGTCCTACTTCCTGGCAACAGATTGGTCTTGGGCAGAATTATCCCCCTGGGTCCTTATGGGCTCTACAAACACACACTCCCGCCCCCGCCTTGCCCACGACGACGTTCCCGTGGCCGACAGTCTGGGAAGACCCAGGCTCAAAGAATGAAGAGACTTTTTTTGCTAAAAAAAAACCCTCAGCAAAAGCTGCCAGAATTGTTCAAAGTGAGCTGGGAAACCCGGGGGGAAGGCAGACACACACTTGGCGGGAACTTCTACAACTTCGCTGGCGCATCTCGCTCTGAAAACCAGGCCCCTTAAGGCAGCAGCGTCGAGCCGAGCACGGCTCGCCCGGGATAAGGACAAGGGTGGACTTAGTGCCGCATACAGTTCACAGGCACAACGGGGGAGATGGAGGTTTAGCAACTCCAGTTTCTTTCACGTGCGAGCCAGGGGCCATTAATACTTAGCACGGAATCGATTAGTTTCTTGTGTTCCTGCTGGAGTGACCCTAGAGCCACCCCTTCCCCATGCAAGGTGGGGCGTGGCATTTAGCTCAGCAGGGCTTAAGGCAACTGCTGAAGGGGGGCTGTCCTGAAATGGGATGGACGTGGCCCAGATGTGTTCGGGGGGGGGAGGAGGGAGGAGAAAGGCTGAGCAGCAGCTGGGCAAAGCGGAGGCTGAGTGATGTAGAGCAGTAGGGCGAGTGAGAAGCTGGCACGTGGGACGTGTCGATTGTGCGACGCACAGATGCTGCGTTCTCGCCCGTGTGTTGGTGCGGCAAGCCAGCCGCTGACACTCGACCCGGCGAATAAACCCTACCCAAAGTGCACACGGAGCAGCTGTGGGAACCACATGATCACGCCCCTTCCCTGGGCTCCACCTGCGGGAGACTCAGACACAGGGGCCGGAGATCAGAGGTGGGCGGTCTCCGTGGGCCAGCCTGCTGTGCCAGGGGTCTGCTCTCACCGCCCCTTCCCCTCGGTGCTGAGCACGGGGGCTGCGCGGCTTTCACCCCGGCGAGGTTCAGCACAAGGCAGCTGGCAGCCCTCCAAAACACGCCTCCCGAGGTATTCGCTTCACGGCCATGCGATGCTACAGCCTCGCTCGCCGGGGTGGAGGGGGGCGGGGAGGTAGGGCAGGAGGGAGCCAGAGCTCTGCGGCCACGAAAGCAGCACAGCCTGCAGAGGCGCGCCCCATCCCACTAGGCACACGCAGGGACACTGCCGTTCCCACAGCCGCAGCGCCCAGCCGGCAGAGGTAGTGGGGAGCCCCAGGCAGGATGCCCCACACGCCGGGCAGAAACACGGCTGGAGGGCTCTGTTTCGGTTTTAAAACTGGAGGGGAGAGGGGACTTTTGGGAGCCGCTCCGCCCCCAGCACATTCCCATTGGCCGGTTTCTGGCAGAACCTGGCCAATGAGAGCTGCTTGTTGAAATAACAGGCAGCTAAGAAAAATCAGGACCGCTCTCCTGGCCTTCAGCACATGGCCGGCAAGCAGGCTGGCTGGCTGGCTGGGAAACATTTCAAGCTCTGCAGGCTGGCTGGCTAGTTCGGCAGCTGGCAAATGAGTCTCTTGGCCACAGCCTGCTTCTGGCACCCCGCCCTTTCCTGCTCCAACTTTCTGCCCCCTCCCCCCCCCGGCCCCACTCAACATACCCAAACCCTCTGTCTCCATCTTACACCCACACCCCCTCCCAGATGTGGCACCCCAATCTCCTGCCCCAGGTCACAATCCCCTCCTACCCATGGTCACATCCCAAACCCCTGCCCTCCACAGTCCCCTGCCTTCGGTCACAACCGCCTGCTTCACCCCAACTCCCTCCCAGACTCCAGTCTCCCTCCTGCACCCCAGACCCTTTCCCCAAGCTCCCTTCTGCACCCCACCTCCATCCCAGACCCTGCACCTCCTCCATTAATATCATGGAAGAGTGTGGCCCTCGACCACTTTCCAAAAACTTGGTGTGGCCTCCCCATCAAAAATTATTGCCCACCCCGACTTAGAATCACACCGCTGGAGTCTCAAGCCAGTTGGTACTAAGTCTTTAGAGGAGGTGGGGAAGGAACAAGGAAGGCCTGAAACCAGCTTTTGTGCCTGGCGACTTGACCGCCTTCTCAAATCAAAGCAAACCAAACAAGGCCCTTACCCATCTCGTCCTCAAAGATGGATTTGGGGTCCACCTTTTTCTTGGCCGCCTTCTCCTTTGGCTTTACGGTGAGATCCGCAAAGATGTCAATGCTGTCCTCAAACAGGTTAGACTCCAGCGCGTGCTCTCTCGTCCTGTTCAGGGGTTTAACGGCCTCCGTCGCAAATATGTCGTCCTTGGAGCAAAGCAGAAGTTGGACAGCATCAGTAGGGGGCACGTGTCGGTAGAGGAGCCTTCGGGTTCCGCTCCATGCAGCAGTGGAGAGTTGGAATCCTCTACCTACCTCTGGGCAACATTAGGGATGAAAAATCCCGTTTAATTGGTTAAAGGGGGCGGGGCCTGGCCAGAGCAGCCCCTGTCTGCCGGGCATCCGGGCCTGCTGTGGACAGCGGCTGCTCTGGCCCACTGGAGCAGCCCCTCTCCGTGGCAGACCCTCTGCCCGGACAGGTGGGGCGCTGCTCCAATCCCCACCAGTTAATGGTTAACCAGCTGGTAAGATCACCTGTGAAGAGGGCTGCTTACCAGTTAACTTCTCACATCTCTCCTGGCCATTGCATAAGAACGGCCGGACTGTGTCAGAACAAAGGTCCATCTAGCCCAGTGCCCTGTCTGCTCACAGTGGCCAATGCCCGGTGCCCCAGAGGGAGGGAACAGAACAGGAATCATCACATGATCTCTCCCCTGTCGCCCATTTCCAGACAGACAGAGGCTAGGGACACCATTCCTACCTATCCTGGATAATGGCCATTTGTGGATCTCACCTCCATGAATCTATCTAGCCCTTTTTTAAACACAGATAAAGTCCTAGATCTTCACAACATCCTGTGGCAAGGAGTTCCACAAGTTGGCTGTGTGAAGAAAAACTTCCTTTGGTTTGTTTTAACCTGCTACCTATTCATTTCATTTGGTGACCCCTAGTTCTTATCTTATGGGAACAAATAAATAACTATTCCTTATTCACTGTCTCTGCATTAGTCATGATCTTATAGATCTCTATCACATCCCCCCTCTTAGTCTTCTCCTTTATTTACAAGTCTACTGGGTTAGGATCCTGTCTCCAGCCTGGCACTGGTAGAGATCTATTCATCGCTGACCCTTCCCAGGCCAGGCGCGGCACATGGGCAAGCAAGGTGAAGGGGAATGGACAGGATGGGGGCCTTATTGCTGCATTGCCCTGCAGCTCGGTTACTCCTGTCATGTAGCACCAGTCAGGTTACAGAAGGAACTAAGCAGCCTAGTACCAGGGAGAGAGCCAGGTCTGCCCAAACACACCTGCTGTCCACCCCTAGGATATCGCTCCTACCCCTCCTCACAGGCCCCATTCCCTCCATGTGGAAGGCAGAATGGTTTTACCCAAAGTCCAGGTGATACATTTCTTCCCTTTACTGGGAGGAACAGGCCAGAAAGTCAGGTATTACCTCAAAGATATCTTGGGCTTTCGGGTCAAGGTTTTGCCGGGGGGTGGATTTCAGCTCCTTCCTCCTCGCAGTTTTCTGACTGGTGAAGAGATCGTCCTCCTCCAGCAAAGAGACGGGGCTGCTTTTCTTGGGCGGCTTCTGCGGGGTGGGCTGGAAGAACTCATCAGGGCCCTGGTCCTCCAGAAAGGACAGGACAGGCTTTGTCTCGCCACCTTTCGGGGGCCTGCCAGCCACGCTCTCAGGGGTTTTAGCTGGGGCTGCAGGCTTGGACGCTGAATTTTTCACAAAGAGACTGTCCGACCCAAACAAGTTGTCCTCGTGGCCTGCGCCTCTCCCCGAACGGTTTCTGTCCACTCCAGGTAACCGGCTCCCGCCCTGCACGGGGGATGGTAGCTTCACCCCCAACCCGTCTTCTGTGCTTGCCTTGGCCTCTGGCTCCGTCGCATCCGTGAACACGGAGCTCTGTTTGGGGAGGGTCGGCTGGGGCTCCTCGTTCTCACTGGACTCCTGTGCGGCTAGCCGCCGGGCTGTCCTGCTGGGAGGCCTCCGTGTGCCCGTCACCTTGATCCTGCTCTGTGAGAGAAGGGAAATCAAGCTGTGTTAGGCCTACTCTTGGGGGAGTCGTCCCCCCCCCGGAGGGAAGTCTTGATATGAAGGCTCTGTATTGGCTTGGACCGCAATTCCGCAGCTGTCTCGCAGCAGGAGTGACAGAATGCTTTTTGTTTTTTTCTTTTAGGACATAATGGCCATTCTCGGTTAGACCAAAGGTCCGTCTAACCCAGTGTCCTGTCTTCTAACAGTGGCCAATGCCAGGTGCCCCAGAAGGAATGAAGAGAACAGGAATCACCACCCACTCCCAGCTTCTGACAAACAGAGGCTAGAGACGCCATCCCTGCCCAATAGCCTTTGAAAGACCCATCCTCCATAAATCCATCTATTCCCTTTTTGAACCCTGTTACAGTCTTGGCCCTCACAAAACCTAGCAACGAGTTCCACAGGTTGACTGTCCTCCTCCATGCAACGCACAGGTCCAACCTCTCTAATCTGGCATGCCTGTCTGGCAAACTCCATGGTCTGGCATAGCAGGATGGCCACTTATGGGTGTGGCCAACGTTCCCGCAATCCCATAAAGTTTGTTTCCAGCCCCCAGTCCTGGCTCTCAGCGTTCTGTGCTGTTATGTAGCTCTAATCTACCCCTAAATGTCTTCGCGAGCTCAGTAAGCAATGGAAGTGTTGCCAATGCTGCTAGACAACACTGACCTCCTGTGGTCTGGCAAGTTCTCTGTTTCGTACCAGGGTGCAAAACTGGAGAGGTTCAACCCGTCCTTCCTTTTACTTGGTTTAAACCTGCTCCCTATTAATGTCATTAGGTGACCCCTAGTTCTTGTGTTACGAGTAAACGCTCCCTTACTTAACTTACTAGACATAACCCCTATCGTATCCCCACTTAGCCATCTCTTCTCCGAGTTGAAAAGTCCCCACCTTATCATACAGGCGTCCCATATCCCTAATCATGTTTGTTGCCCTTTTCACTACTGTTTCCAAATCCAGTATTTCCTTTTTGAGATGAGGTGACCACATCTGTGCATCCTGGTTTTAGAGAGAGGATATCTTGTGTGCGATCTATCCCTTTCCTAATGATTCCCAGCCTTCTGTTCATTTCTTTGACTGCCGCAGCACACTGAGTGAACGTTTGCAGAGAACTCTCCACAAGGAGTCCCAGATCTTTCTCTTGCCTGGTAACGGCTAATTTACACCCTCCACATTTTTTGTGTAGAGTTGGGATTATGTTGCCCAACGTGCTATACTTTGCATTTATCAACACTGAATTTCATCTGCCATTTTGTTCTTCAGTTCCTCCGGCTCCTTTCAGCTTTTATTAGTCATATGATCTAACATTGGAACATGGGGAGTTTTTTCATTAACATTTAAAACCTGGAGATTTTATTCTAGTCCCTCAGGTGCGGTGCGTAGGCAGGGAGATTACAGAGCCGGGGAAAAGGTAAAGGTAACGTTTTCCATGTTCTCCTAGAGCAGAAAGCCAAGCTAGACAGGTCTGCTGTGTCTCAGCATGGGGCGGGAGGGAAGAGCTGTCAACTCAGAGAAGCAGCTTCCCCCTTCACACCCCAGGTGGGATTTATGGCAGGGGAGAGAACAGGGACAGCGCTGGCTTCTTCTGCAGCCCTCGACGTGGTTTGGCGCACGGCAGGTAAGGCTACTGCCTGGCATGGTGTGGTCTGGCAGAGAGTTACTCTGAGGTACAGCCGCTATCCCTGTGGCCTAGACAATGCTGTGTCCTTAAAAGGAGGAAATTCCTCTCCTTCTATAGACCCCCCGCCATGGAGCAAACTACCCCAACATGAAGCAAAGTACGTAAGGCCACAAAACCCACTCACTTGTGAGGGGACTGAAGGGATGCGCCTCCGTGCCTTGGAGAATCAGGCCACCGAGCGAGACCATGTACATGTATGCACATTAGGTTCATTCCTCAATTATCTAGAAAGTCCAGCAGCGTCACTTTCCCCACACCACCACGTTGGACTCAGTAAGTGTACAGTCGCCCCATAGGCTCCCCTAACGCCTGCTCAACACACACACAGCTCTCTACGACGGGTTCGCTCCGTAAGCACCGGGATACCCTGACACAGAGATTACCTTATTAGCACTGTGTAAGGTATCTGCCTGCATGGGGCAGTCGAAGCTCACGCCGGCCTCCTGGCTGCTTCCTGCGGCAGCAAAGGCGTCAGCGCTTCGTAGGCCATGAGGTTCGTGCAGGGGAGGTTCCGAATTTGGCAATGCAGGCTTCGGAGTGGAGATCTTCGCAACTGCACTGGGTAGTAAGGCTGCTGGGTTAATAGCTAAATTAGCCTAAAAAAAAAACCATGAAGAGAATTGTATTAGTGTTTCCTTCAAGAGAGACAAGCACCAAAGAGACAGCATGGTCTAGTGGGCAGGGCACTGGCTAAGACTCAAGAGTTCTGGGTTCTAGTCTAGCTCTGCCCACTGACCATGTCCAAATCCTTTCACCTTCACTCCCTCCCTCCTTTACCAGTTTCCCTAGGTCTGTCCGGCGCTTAGCGCATGGGGGCGCCAGTCAGAGGCTCCCGGAATGCCAAATTGCAAATCTCTTGAGAAATTCAGCGTGGAAGAACGTTCCAGAACAGTCCTCCCCCTTCCAATGAAGAACTACAGATACTGCTGCCCAGAATTGGCCTCCGTATGGCAGGAGAGGGGTGGGGAAGCATTAAACATGCAGTCTACAGAAAGCAACAACTGAAAATGAAACTGCAGCCGGAAAGAAGCCTGAGAAGATGAATTAAAAAGAAAAGTTTTTTTAAAAACAGAGCCATTAGTGAGGTAGGGAAGTTGTTTTTTTGTTCGGTTGGTTTTTTTGGAGAGAGAAAGAGAGAGTCAAAATTCCAGTAAAATAATTACTTGTAGTTTTCCAATCCGAGACGAGGGCTCTTTGGTTTTAATGGGAGCCGGACCTGCGGATTTCTGCACAAAATTACACTGAATTAAAAATCAGCTGGATAAACGAGACTGAAATCATCATGCTGCTTGGAAGGAGCCAAGCTACCCAAGAAGGTCCATGTCCCATTGCAGCACCAACTTGTCACCACCCTCCTCACATCGGGCCATGACCCACCAGGTCTGGGCAAGTCAAGAGGACTGCTCTCTAGGGCAGGGTCCATGTGTCTGATTGCAAGGAGCCTGCCTCAATTCGAGGGGCTTGAAAGAAACCCCACTGGCATGTCCCCTACCGGCAGAGCCTCCAGTCCAGCTTCACCCTCACAACATGCCGGTCTGGCCCAGCGATACCAAAGCAGCTTTTTTGATTTTAGACCCTACTTTACACTTGCTCCTGCTCAAATCTGTCCACCGGTCCCTACACCAGCCCCCTTCAGGCCGAGAGGCCTTGAAACAAGTCAAGTTGCAATACACCCACATACCCAGTTGTGGTCTCACCCGCAAGCTGCACCAAGGAATATCCAAGCTGGAAAACAAGAGCACTCAAGGGCCTCCGCTCCACCTTCAAGTTCAAGCCATTTTCTTTGTCTTGTTCCATTTGCGTCAACGCTAAAAGAAGTGGCTGTCCGCTTGGGGAGGTCTTGGGACCCCCACGGGTACAAAAGTCGAACTCACAACCCACATGCAGGGTGTGACAGTCAGGAATGAAACCTCCATTGCGGGAGCGAGGGGGGGCAGGGAGGCCGCGATGTTTTGTGGACAGATTGTGTCGGAGAAGCCAGGACAGAGCAATCTAGGGCCATCCGCACAGATACTCTTGGCCAAGTGACGTGGGTCTGGATCTCCACTCAGCTGCAGCACGTGGGGAAAGAGGGGAGAGAGACTGGCACTTTCTCTAGGTAAGTGAGGCCAGAGAGCATCAGAAGCAAGGCCACCTAAAAGGGCTGCGTGGCCCCAGAACGTGGGCCAAACCCACAACACACAGAGAGGGGAGATCAGACGGAAGGCCGTTCCCCACAGGAGAGGGGAGATCAGACGGAAGGCCGTTCCCCACAGGAGAGGGGAGATCAGACGGAAGGCCGTTCCCCACAGGAGAGGGGAGATCAGACGGAAGGCCGTTCCCCACAGGAGAGGGGAGATCAGACGGAAGGCCGTTCCCCACAGGAGAGGGGAGATCAGACGGAAGGCCGTTCCCCACAGGAGAGGGGAGATCAGACGGAAGGCCGTTCCCCACAGGAGAGGGGAGATCAGACGGAAGGCCGTTCCCCACAGGAGAGGGGAGATCAGACGGAAGGCCGTTCCCCACAGGAACGTGCTGCTTTCTACAGATCCCCAACACAAGCTAGTTTTTGTCAGAAATCCCTTTGCTAAGCCCATGAGCTTTGCTTGACTGCCGCATGGTCCCTGAAGGGGGTAGCTAGGCAACTAGAGCACCCACAGCCAGACAGACTCTTGGGAAGGCAGACGGGGAGATGTCAAAGTAACTGGGGGCTCAGGAGGACTGGGGCACTGGCTTTGTGGTCTGAAGGTAGCCAGACTGAAGTTCTGCTGCCCAAGAAGGGTGCCAGACATCGGTTATACCCCTGAAGGGGATGTGGAGCTGGAACTAGCAATCAGTCCCTGCCCAGACCCATGCAGCTTAGAACCCTGGTGGGGTCTCTTCAGGCCCACGTCCATAGAAAGGAGGACTGGAATGGCTGACAGAGAACAGAAAAGCGTATTTCCCAGGGCGTGTCTCCCCTACGAAATTAAATCAACAGACAGGCACCGATAAAAGCGGTGGTTTGTGTCCGTGTTTGCTCCTTCGGTCCGGGCCTGCAGCCTCATCAGGAGCACAGCCATTCACTGACGTTCCCAGCCAACAGCCAACGTAAGTAATTCAGCGCACTGCCCGCACCGCGCCTTTCATGGAGGTGGAGTTCAGTCCACGGAGGCTGCCTTGCGTCAACCAAGCTCTGTAGTCTAGACCAGGCCTCACGGTCTCCACATCACAGTAGAACGACAGACTCTCTCCCTGAACTCACCCTGGGCTCCGCTCTCTTAGCCATAAGATGCTACTGCTGGAATCAAAGGGATAAATCTGTGGAGACTAACCAACACACAATCCAGCCACCTCTCCAAATGCTGTGTTGGTTCTGCAGGGCCAGCAGGAGCCTTATTAGCGGACTGTAAAACCCAAGACAGGATGCTGAACACACAGCAAGAGGAAGGGAGTGCAGGTGTCACTGAGTAAAAAAGTCTCTTCACACCATAACCATGTTTTAAAGCTCTGGTCCATGAGAGAAATGGAGGTTTTTTGGTTTGGGTTTTTTTGCGCAAATGGGAGGGGGAAGGGTCAATAAATCTTCATTTTTTCAGTAAATCAAGTCAATGAGCAAGTCAGAAGAAGTCATTCTTCCGCTCCACTCTCTGCTGGTTAGAGCTCAGTTGGAGTATTGTGTCCAGTTCTGGGTGCTACATTTCAGGAAAGAGGTGGAGAAACTGGAGAAGGTCCGGAGAAGAGCAATGAAAATGATGAAAGGTCTAGAAATCAGGACCTCTGAGGGAAGGCTGAAAGAACTGGGCCTGCTTCGTTTGGAAAAGAGAAGACTAAGAGGGGACATGCTAGCAGCTTTCAAGTACCTAAAAAGGTGTCACAAGAGGAAGGGAGAAAAATTATTCTTCTTGCCCTCAGAGGATAGGATAAGAAGCAATGGGCACCAAGGGAGGTTAAGGTTGGACATTAGGAAAAACTTCCTCCCTGTCAGGGTGGTGAAACACTGGAATAAATTGCCCAGGGAGATTGTGGAATCTTTAGCACTAGAGATATTTAACAGCAGGTTAGACAGACACCTGTCAGGGATGACCTAGACGGTGCTTGGCCCTGCTGTGAGGACAGAAGACTACATTTAATGACCTCTCAAGTTCTAGTTTTCTATGATCCCATGGTCCTAATTTTTTCACCACCCTGCACCTGATGCATTAATGTACACCAGGGCTAAGTGGTTGTAATACACCACTGTGCCGATTCAATCGCATTTTAAACCCAGTGCGTCAACCTTCCGGTAAGGGAATTTGTGTTCCTGGGAAAACTAGAATTTTAAACATAGTCTTTGAGTTACAGCAGGTCAGGCTGCTATGCCATGGATGAGCAATAAGTCAGTCTCCATCATCAGTTTTCAGTGGAAACAAAAACAAACCCTCCCCCGCTTGTTTTATTCAAACCACTTAACTTCGAGGCTTACCTCGGAGGTTTCTGCTTTAGGTATCTCATCTTGTTTGGCACTTGTCTGATTCTCCGGATCCTTACTGCTCTCTGTAGAGGAGCCAGAGCTGGTCTTTTTCACAACTGATTTTTTTTCTGCTACTTTCTGAAATTAGAAAATATTTAAAATCGAGTCGGCAAAAAGATTTTACACCACAATTTCCTTTTATGTGCAGGTAGAAGACTGTCATTTTCTGCACACTGTGTATCCCTTCCCCCCATCTTCTGATTTTCAATCAAGCTTTTCTAGCCTGATGAAAAAACGAATGTAACAAACCATTCACCTTCAAGGCGGCAAAACGAAGAGCTAAGAGTTGGGGCTTTAAACAGGCAAAACCTTCACTGACGACTGGCTTTTTGCTTGGACGCAAAACAAGCTGATTAAGTGCCAAAGGCTCGCGATTTAGGTAAATACAACCCTAAGCGGTATGACTAGATCAAGGGACCCTTTTCCAAGTTAGTCTGGTATTCGATCACTTCCAAGTTACGAATGTTCTTACTGACTTTACAGCTTTGCTCGTTTCATGGACTGAGACATAAAATAAGATTAAAGTTAAGGGGAAAAAATGGGTCCCGTATATATTAAAGCCTGCCAATACTTAAAGTCAGCAAATGCATTCTGAACGGCAAAAAGTTTATTTGGGCCTATCCTGAATCATGCTTGGCTGTTGCTGTACATCCAGACGTCCTGATGGGTCCCTAAATGATGATGATTGGAGTCTGCCATTAAAAACAACCTGAAGCCTAACATTAAAGCCAATCTGCAGAAGGTTTCCAAGGACAATTTATGGGGGAGGCAAGATCTTCTGCGTCCTGCACAAAGCTTACTACTGGCAAGTGAATCTCTTAGACCCAAGCAGATAAGGACTAGATCTCTGGCCTAGAGGAACTAAGGTCTGGGATGGAGAAGTCCCACATGGAAAAGCCTAGAACAGTCAGGCCTGCAGAAGAAGCTTAAAGGAAGAGTTACGACTGGCCGTTGTCAATGGAGTCGTTGCTAAAGCAAACACCATGTAAATACGAGCTCTAGAGAGAGAATTCTTCAGGGCAAAAGGTGGGGAATGGGTACTCTTCTGCTAACACACAGCCTAAGGCCATGTCTTCACTAGACGGAAGCTCGATAAGACTGCGATCGATCTTCTGGAGTTTGATTTAGTGAGTCTAGTTAAGGCTTGCTAAATTGAACTCAGAGTGTGTCCCCGCCGCTGCCAGTACCCCTGCTTGAGAGAGGAATAAAGAGACAAGGGGATGGGAGGGAGGGGGGAGGTGTGAAGCAAGGTACTTTGACTCCAGCTACACAATTAACATCTCTCATTGCGTTTTCATTCGACGTTCCCTATGAGTGTAGACCTGGCCTAAGTTGCCAGTCAAATATTCAGAAGTCAGAGGGCTTGAAGGGTGATGATGGAACTGAAAGGCCAGAAGGGACCTCCCCTTCCTCCTATAATGTGCAATTAGATATGTTAATTACGTAGCTGCTCGCACAAGCAGGGGTACCTCTTCACATTAAAATAAATAGCTCACCCATAATACACACTAAACAGCTACAGATTCTGAGTGTGAACAGACACACTTTCATAATGCTGTAGAAAAACAGTGCTCGTATTTTTAACAAGCCTGTAATGAAGAGTGGAGGTATTGTTAGACTCCTAGTTCTGCCCAATTTCTAGATTTGTCACAGAAGTCTAGTCAGTTCCAGTGTTTTATTTTATTAGTTTCCCAAAAGTCAGTTGCTCTAGGATAACCAGAGTTCTAACCATAGCCCGGTCATTCAGTCCAGTGCCTGCAGCAAGTGCCGTTCTAGGATAAGTGGCAGCATCGTGGGCATCCATGTTGAAGAACTCGACTTTCCTTGGGAACGGTCCCCTCTATGCACACCTGTCCCAGAATCAGAGCACAAGGCTGGGATCCTTCCATCTCATGCACCGTCTCCTTTGTAAAGGTTCTGCAGAATCAGTCAGGATCTCCGCAACACAAGGGAACGCCTATTTCCGCCTGGGATCTTGCACCACTGTGAGCAACTGGTACAGCCAGTTTCACTGATGCACCAGGGAAAAAGAGACCTGCTCATTCTCTTACTGCTTTGCTGACTCGGCAAAAGTCAAAAATACCCCAAGCAGTGAAGACACACGTTTGTCTCTAGAAATCAGCTGAGATGAGCCTGACCACACACAGGGCACAGGTCTCCTGAACATGGTTCCACTCACGGAAGAGTCACATTGAGGAATTTCTACTTTATACGCAACTTGGGAATCTACAGTAGCACCCCACGGCCTCCGCTCTACCCAGTGGAAAGCCGGCATTTACAACAAAAAGGCAAGTACCGGAGGCTTTGCCTTCGCAATACTGAAGAGATCATCGTCCTCGTCATCGCCAAAGAGCCCCCCGCCGGCCGGCATAGTCCCACGGAGTTTTGCAGGCTGAAATGAAAACAGGCTGCGTCACACAAACCTGGCTCGCACCTAGATGCCTCTGCCTATCCTCTGGCGGCCGGTGGTCTTATCCCGTTTAAGGGACCCCTCCCCAAGCCATTTTACAGTTGTTATAGTCCGGAAAGTCCACTTATAACAGCAGGGTCAGAACACGGCTTTCAACTCACCCCTGATTTCTTCGCCCTGGCAAAGAGATCGACATCGGGGTCGTTGTCTTTCTGTAGCTCGCGGCTGAAGAGCAGCTCCTCGTCTTGGAACACGCCTGTGCTTTTCAAATGAGCGCTCTTCTCATCCGGCTGAGGGGAGGGAAGGGGAGAACCCCCCCACGTAAGCTGTGACAAAGCTCCACTAATGGTTTGTTCCCAGCACCACACTCAAGCGCTAATGACACAGGGCTACAAATGCAATCCAGGCCGGCCTTTCTACGCACCCCGCTTGAATGACGCCAATCCAATGAAATGCTAAGGCCTTCTGCAGCACACAATGGAATGCAAAGATATAACCCTGAGATATCACAGGGGACGTCTAAACTACATTTTTTTTTCCCCAAAAGAGGATGTGCAAATTCTGCGGGAATTTGCATGGATCTTTCAAAAGTGAAAGTCGTCTGGACGCGTTTATTGGGAGAAAAAAGTTTTTCGAAAAAAAAAAGCACAAACTTTATTTAAGAGCAGGGTTTGTTTTTTTCCCCCCGAAAAAGGGTTCCCCCCCCCCGGAAAAAAACTGCTTTCAGACGACTTTCACTTTCGAAAGATCCCAAAAGAAGATATGCAAATTCCCATGGAATTTGCATATCCTCTGTCGAAAACAGAATGTAGCCTAGACGTATGTGTGTTCACACGGAGGGTTGTACTAGTTTACTGATTTAAACTAGAGATGGTAGAGCGTAACCAACTAGCCGTTTAACAGATAAACTGATGCTTATCGGTGAATGGTGTCGGTGAATGGTGTCGGTTACTCTCAGCCAGATTCCCGGAAGGCTCACTGCAGGCTCTACAGTATAACACTTACTTAATTATACTTTTTTATTGTCTTGCAAAGCTCACAGCATGGAACCAAAGAGATTTTCAGCAATTACACGGTTACTTACTTAACCGATTTTTAACATCCCTAATTTAAACACCCGTTCCATAGCGCAACTCGCATGTTAAGACAAGCCCTCCGTTACATACCCTTACGGATGGGCGGCTCAGAGAGAAGCTGCCCTTTCATACTGGGAAACTGTTCCCATTGGTAGATCCGCCTGCTCCGATTTGGGGAGGGAGCCAAGGGAGGGCTGAGACGCACCTCTGCAGTCCCAGCCCTTCCCCCACAGTAATCGCAGAGCCAGCTTGGGGTCCGAGCTCTGGCCCCACGTGCCAGGCCAAACCCCTGCAGCTTGGCAGGAGGTATCAGACATGCCCAGCGCCCCCTCGAAACTCTCTGCAGAGTCAGAGCTAGTTACAGAGAGCTTGAGAAGAGAAGAAAGATCCAGAGAAACCGGCAACCAAGGACAGCTGTTTCAGCCAGGACTGGGAAGAGCTGATGAAGCACAAACACCGGGCGGTCGTTCTAGGCAGCAGGAGACACAGGGGGAGCCAAGACGTTGCAACGGGGCGGTCAGAGGGAGAGGGGATCTGCAAGCGAACCAGGGAGCCATTCCCCCCCTCCCCTTTTGCTCACCTTTCTTACTTCTTTCTGCTCAACCCTTCTGGTGTCTTGATTGTCCATTTTCTCTTCCTCCTCCTCCTCTTCGAACAAGCTCAGCACGTTCTTAGCCCTGGGTTTGGCTTCCTTCTCCACCGGCGGCGGCGAGGCCGCAAACAGACCCAAATGACTGACCGGCCCCAAAGGCGATGCCGCGAAAGGCTCCGGCTGTAGAGAGAGAAACGGACTAGCATCCAGTGCAGCTTTGCTGGATTACCTTGGGTGGGGCGTTTGAAGTGTCCACAGATCTGGAACCCAATATCATGGCAAGCAGCCAAAGGCACCCATCCTCCCCAGGGGGCTAACGGAGGGCCAGACGCATTGCTGGGGGCATCACGGATTGGGTGGCCCTTTGGCAGAAGAGCACTGGTTTGTGTCGGTACCATGCATCTTAGTACTGACCAGGGCTCTCAGATCCCCAGCCTATAGGCCATTCCCAACCACAGCCTTTGTGCAATCCGGTCTGGCACTTCCACAAGCCAGAATGGGTGAGGGGAGCTGTCCATTACAGGCCTCCAAACCTCACCCCTCCCGCTATCACCCTGCCCTCTCCCTGCATGTCCCCAAGGACACAGCTTTGGGGATCACCAGGGAGACAGCCCCTCCCTCCAGCCTGCCAGGAGTCCTAGGCTGGATTGTACAATCACTCTGGCTGGAGATAGCCCACGAGCTGGGAGTTTGAGACCCCTGGTACCAACAGCACGTTGTGCATGGGCGTGAGTTTGCCCTGGCTGCTTCTGCTCCACTCCAGAGACAGCGACTTTTCAATGGCCATGCAGCTGGCCAGCAAAACGGTGTGGGATCCTCGGAGGCAAAAAGCGCTCTGTGTGCGCAGAGCACTGCTCAACAAGCACCGGGTTTGTCAGCGGCACTACGTACCAAGAAAGTCATGGCCCAATAATTCCCACAACAGTCAGCGGGCTATTCAGCAGACTGCCTACGTTTGGCTGACCCTGGGGACCATCTCTGCTAGCAAACAGCGCTGCCGAAGGCAGGAACGTGGATGGCTTTAGCGGGTCTATACTACCCTGGGCACACCGGTGTGACGTGGCCCTGGGCACACCGGTGTGACGTGGGTAAACAGGATGTTTCCGCAGCCTCCCAGCAGTTCTTGAGTTTGCGGCCAAGAGTTTGTGTGCACGGCGACACCCCCCCAGCCAGTTCACACGTGGGAAGGCCCAGTGCCCCCGTGTGACTGGCCACATGCGTGCACGGGTATTGCTCAGTCTGACGCAACTGGAAACAGGCTTTAATGATTCCGTTATCTGTTTGGTGGTGATCAAACGGGCCTGCACCCTTGAGTTAGAAACAGGGGGGCGAGTACTGCTCACGGCTATCGGCCATTCACAGAAGAATTCTATGAAACGCACAGCGAAAGAGTTTTTAACAAACCTGTAACTTAAAAAAAAAAAAAAGATTCTTACCTTTCCCTTTTCCTGCTGCCCTGCAACCTCTGTTCCTCCTGTCACAGGGCTGGCTTTATGCTTCTCTGTATGTCCTGACTTCTCCTCCGCCACTTTCGTTTTTGAGGTGTCCAGCAGATCCTCCTTTTCCGCCTCTTTATCAAATAACGAAGGTGGCACCTGAAGGGGTTTTGCTTTTTCCTGGGAAACGAAAGGTTGGCACTACTCATCCGGGGAGGACCGGCACAGAACTGCACGGACAAACGCGTATAAAAGGCCTGGATCTATGAGGGACAGAGGTCTCCGGTAGGGGGTGATCAGAACTTGAGGGAGACCGGAAACCCTTACAGAGAGCAGGCTGGGGAGCGCTATAGGTCAGAGTTTGGTGGGTCTGCCACAGAGGGCGAAATCCTGTGCCGCCTGAAGTCAAGGAAAGGTTTGCCATTCATTTCAACAGGACCAGGATATCACTTTTGGACCGGTCTCAAAACCCTTCAGGAACACTTCCAGCGCTGTCCCAGAGAAGGCAGCATTCCGATTCCACTGTAACCTAACGCAGTCAAGCAGTTTTAAGCCCAAAACTCCAGCTACCTTAAAATTGCTACAAATTTGTCGGAACTCCTCTAAGGCTACGTCTAGACTGCAAGACTCTTTCAAAAAAGAGCGTCTAGACTACAACCAGTACTTTCGAAAAAGCGAGCCGCTTTTTCGAGCACGCAGGCAGTCTGGATGCTCTTTCGAAAAAGCACAGTTTGCATTACATAGCGCCTTTTTTCGACAGAGCACTTTCGAAAAAAGGAGTTCTTCGTAAAACGAGGTTTTCCGTGGTCGCAAAAACTGCTGCGTTCTTTCGAGTGACTTTCGAAAGAACGCAGCAGCAGTCTAGATGCAGGGGAAAGTTTTTTTTCCCCAAAAAAAGGCCGCTTTTTACAAAAAAAACACCTCTGTAGTCTAGACACACCCTGTCTGAAAGGCCCTGGCTCATGTGTTCTATGGAGAAGCCGGCGCCTTTCTACAATGCTGCCATTCAGTGAATCCCCTGCTTTGGGGGTAAGTAGGAAAAGGAGGTACCGTTGTGGCTTTAGCCGCTGAAGGAAGACGCGTCGGCTGGGAACTGAAGAGCGATCCGCCATTAACAGCATCTTCTTCAAACAGAAGAGAAGCCTTTGGGTGCTTCCTCGGGCTGTAGACACACAACCAGGCACAGGTGACATGTTTAACTGGTCAAATGGTACCTTTAGACGCTCCTCTTTAGGGAGATGGTATAGACGAGCATGAAGTCTGAACCAAGTCTGACCAGGGCCAAGTTTTCTCTAGGCTACGGAGGCCCAGGATTGCTGCTCCAGTCTAGCAGTAGACCTGGTGCTCCAACCTGCTAAGAATGGAAGACCACACGAGGTAGGACCAAAGGTCCATCTAGCTCAGGGTCCTATTTTCTGATGGTGGCCAAAGCCAGGTGCCCCAGAGGGAATGAACAGAGCAGGGAATCATCCAGGGATCCATCTACACCACACGATTAGCCACCTGGTGTGTCAGTCACCTATGTCACTGGACATTAATTCTGCTTCCTGATCGGATGACTGCAACTTTTTCAACAGGAAGAGAATCGCTCACTCGTTGTACATCTCAAACAAGGGGCTTTTCTTTGACCTTTCAGCTGACGAGACTCTGCCTAAAATTTGTAGTTTTCAAGATCCAAATATTTTATAACTCCAGAGTCCCCCCCAAGAAGCAAGTGCGCCTCCAGGCCTGCCCTTCTCCGAACACCCACCCCAGCGAAACAAGTGAAAAAGCACTCCTCGGGGTCCTACCAAAGCCAGCACTCCATAACCACTCGAGAACAGGCGAGCTTTGCCCTGTGCCCTGCAGGTAAACCCACGGAGCTATTTTGGGCCTATGGGAGGATGGGGAGGTCCAGAGTCAGCAGCCCTCTCCCTAAAAAGAAGTTTCTCCAGCTTACATGCCAATGGTGAGCCCAGCTGTGGCAGCAGCACATGGGAAAGCAGGGTCTGAACCAAAACCTTAATCTCCCCCTGGAAAGCAACATGCAGCCGACACAGCCTAAGGATCAGCAGCGTAACAGCTGCTGAAATACACAGCAGGAAACCATGGATTTTTAGGATTTCTTGATGGCACCTCCCTCTCCTGGGGCAATGGGCATTGTGCCATTTCAGGAAGAGAATCCCACAATATCTTCGACATAACTACTAGAGCATATAAGCGGGGTTGGAATGACTGGAGAGAAACGTGCTGCTCTGTTGTCGCGTGTTCTCACCTGTCCTTAGTGATGGCAAATAAATCCTCCTCCTCTTCATCCTCTTCGAAGAGGCTGGTCTTTTTCACAGCCTGGGCCGGATCCACTGCACTGCCGGGTGGAGCAGCTTCCCCCTTTTGGCGCTCTTCGGAAATTGGTTTAGTCGGCTTGCTGATGTTCCAGTGGTCCTAAAAAATTTTTTAAAAATTTAAAAAATTACAAATTGGGGCAGCTGTGCTAATCTGTATCTGCAAAAACAAGTTCTGTGGCACCTTAAAGACTTAAGGCCACATTGGTTCGATGCTTTGGTGATCAATCCTCCGGGGTTCGATTTAGTGGGTCTAGTAAAGACCTACTAAATCAAACACTGAGGGCCCGCTCCCAGCAGCACTAGTACACCTTGCTGTTGTGGGGAGTAACGCAAGTCGATGAGAGAGTTTCTCCTATTGACCTTCTGCCGTGGGGCTGCCCCAGAAAAATTAGTACAAGATAGGTCAACTCCAGCTACACAATTCATACAGCAGGAGTTGCATATTTTGCATCAATGTTCTCTGCCTGCATAGACCTGGCCTAGCAGACAGTTAGTGTTTAAGATACCACAAAACTCCTTTTTATTTTTTTCCTTAGTCAGCATATTGGAATCAGCACTTACTCCAAGGAGCAAATGGGCTGATTTTACATCTGTATATTAAATACCAACATCAATGCAACTCCCGGCCAGAAAAGACACAATTAACCCTCACTTCTAAGCATTCATAAGAACGGAGGCCTGGCTCCCATTTGGCAGGTGTTAAGGTTAACAGAGCAATGGCGTACCTGTCTCTTTTTTGGGAACTACGCTATTTACATATTAACACAGTACCTCTAAGACAGAAGTCAGAATTTGCATTAGCATGGAACACTGCAAATCCCAGAAATTATTTTCTGTTTTCATGCTTACACTGAGCCTCTTTGTCCCTCGTGTGTTACAGGTGGTCTGCAGATGCAATACCACATCCCCTTCCTACTTCCTGATGCATTAAAAACAACAGAGGCTTTTTAAAAATCTGGGCGTGCTTTATTTTTACATTGATACTCATGGCCCATCTACCTTAAAAAAAACAAAAGCCACAATAGATTAACTGGAGATCCAGTACTTTTGTGACAGGCACTAAAGCAGCCATGAATGCTGATGAATTAAGGTGGGAAGTGACTTTTAATCATAGTAAAGTTCCTTTAAATCGGGCCACACCAACACTATGTTAATTCAATGACTTGGCTACAAAGTTTGATAAAGGATTCAACACCTCCAACTCCTTCATTAAAGGCTAGCCTGCCCAATAGAAGTGGGCCAAAAATCTTGTTTTCCCAATTCCCCACATTTCTAAATAAACCCTGATCGGCCCAAAACTTTCAGACCCTCTTTACACACATTAGTAGTACACACTAGAGGTCATCTCTTTGTCACCCTACTTGGTAGGACCCCGTGGTGTTATTTTCTGTTACATCCTTATAGTGTACCTCCTGCAAGTTTTCCCAGACACAGTACACCTCCGCCATCCAACCCCATGGCACACACAGCCAATACGCACACACACACACACCCCTCCCCCTGCCACACGGATGCTCCTTCCAGTTATTGTGATGTGTTGCCTGCGGGCATGGAACACGCCACACTCAAATGCAACATAGTGAACGCGCTTGTAAACATTTCACCTTCTGGAGAGCAGTACACCCCGTAGCCCCCTTTAAAATGCATCAGTACCTCCTCGTCACTGCTGAACAACGAGATGGAAGTGGTTTTGAGGGACTCCGATTGTTTTGCTTTCCCCTGGGGTGGTTTCGACTGTTGCTTCTTGGCAGCTGGAGTACCGAAGAGATCCTAAAAATATTCAAGTCCAGAAAGGTAACTCTGCCCAGTACTCAGTGTATATCAGCATTCAGGTTCCTAACAGCAGCTAGATCAACTAGTTAAGGAAATAAAGACTCCAACCATCAGCCATTCAAAAGAGAACAGCTTCCACTCCAGCTGCTGGCCTCATGTGGGCCGAGAGCTGGCAGCACCGCACGGGAACTCCAGCAAGGCTGGAGCAGCCCTCTGGGAGCTGGTCCTGGGTACCAATTAACCGGTTACTTGTTCACATGTGAACAGTGGCCCTTGTAACTGACTCCGCTGACTCTGCGCCCGCTGACTGGGCTAAAGAGAAAGTGCGGATCACTCACCTCTTCATCCTCGTCATCAAAGAGGGAGAGCGGGGCTTTGGGGGTAGACTTGCTGGGCGGGAGAGATGTGCTCTTCGACTTGAGCGTTTGACTCGGTGAAAACAAGTCCTGTGAGAACCAAGCACAGTCACTTGGCGAGAGAAGCAGGGCTTAGGAACTCAGAAAAACAGGCCCCCTGAATCCATTTAAAACGAGGCCCTTCCGTGTGCTACTGAAGAGGAGCAAGATGGCCGATTCTCACCAGGCCTAGCCCAGAGGCCCACCCTGTCAGAACAGGTCACTGATGTTGGGGCCCTACACAGGATGCCTGCCCAATTCAGAGATACTGAACACATGCAACTTCTTCTGGGACTCTCGGAAGGCTCCAGGGGAAGTCCCAGCTGAGAAGCAAGACAAGGACCGATGAGCCTTGCACATACTGAAGCATATTCAATAGTCGGATGCTCTTTCCTCCCTTTTTGCTTCATCCAACCTTCCATCTCACGCCTCTGTGTCCATGCAAAAATGGAACTGTATGCAAACTGTTGGGGGAGACCCACTGCTCCTGCTGGAGAGAGTTTTGGGGGAAACCACATACCAGAGATCCCACTCCTTGGAGCTAAGCAAACGATTTAAGGTGGCAGTCGAAATGCAACCACAGAGCAGCCTAGACCCCTAGCATGCCATTTCGAACCCAGAAGAGCATTTAGCACTTACTTCAGAATCTTCTTCATCAGAAAACAGGCCTCTTTGGGCTTTGGGGACTGCAGATAAAGGCTTGAAGTCCTCCGCAGAAGACGAGTGACTCTTCAAAACAAGAACACATCAACAGCCATTGAAATCAAGGCAAACGGCACATTTGACATTTTCTCTTTAGCAAGCCAGCTACCAAGTGCCCCAGCTGTTGAAAAGGGGGCGACTAAAACCTAGGAAATTCTGATCCAGACACTAGAAAAATCCAACATCCTCTTTATTTTAAGGCAGATCTTTCTGTGGTGCCTCAGCTTCAGGAGGATTATTTCGAGAGCTGGCCATAGATTTTGCATACAAATACCACAGACTTCAACCGCCAGCGCTTACAGGGATTCAAAGGCGCGGCGTGGTTATATCTTCTTGGATAAGCCAACCACCCCCTTAGAGACAACAGATGAACTAGCCAATGGTGAGAGCTCTCTAACCCTAAGCTAGAAGTACCAAGTATGAAACATTTCACCCTACGTGAAATTTCCACTTGCTTTTTTTCCTTGGTTTCATGTTTGGGTGCTTACCCTTTAAAAAAGATTAACTCAGCCTTGCTACATTTCTAAACAAAACAGCAAAATGAATTATTTTGGCTCTTGAAAACATGTTTTCCCCATTGCTAGTCAGGCAGAACTATTCACCAAGCTTGACCCAAATTTGGCAATTGTTCCAGGTCAACCTGAAACTGCATTTTCGGCAACACAATTAGTCACCAGGAAACTCCTCCCAGCTCTGCTTCACAGTCTGATAGAAGAGGAACAAGAAAGTCACATAAAGAAAATCAACTCGACTTAGTAAGACTCCCACAGACCAACCTTCCTTAAGTCCAACAACTGCGGAAGGCACACAGGTAACCCAGAATCTAGAAACTAAGCCACTTTCCTGTTCTTCTAGCTAAGGGATAAACTCCAGCAGAGTTAGAACCACAGGGGCCTACCTATGGCTCAGTCCTTTGCACACAACGGAAAAATCCGCTTCTAACGTTACCTTATTCCCTCCCATCGATTCTTTACGGCCTTCGGCTGCCTTGCTAACAGCTGCAGGAACGTCAGGCTCTTCCTCGAAAAAGTCGCCTTCCTCATTGTCAAAGAGATCAGCAGCAGATTTGGCTTTGTTTAAATAAAGAAGAGAAAATACACATTCATATCAGAGAGCGTTTTCTACTGGAAGAGATTGGCTATCATCAATCCAAAAAGGAGAGGCTGTGACATCACAGAAGGAGGACAGCCTCTTTTGTAGAGAGCTGAATGACAGCGACGTGTCAGTTGCGTGCAATGGTCATTAGCCAAAAGGTCAACAGGTACTGGCGCTCTCACACACTGAATATGCGGGGCACACACAGCTGTTCTGAACCAAAACCATATATCCCCTTGGGTTTATAAAGCCTCCCAGGGGAACAAAAGAGAGGAAGAGAATTGCTTACAGCTGCCAAGCGAGATCAGACATTGACGGTAATGTTCGGAGGGAATCCGATACAGATGAGACAGTACAACAGCGGAGGTGGAACCATCACCAGGTTCAGATGGAATTTCACGGCCCTAAGTTCTCCGACCCGTTGTAGTGTTCTGCACACACTTTACCTGATCTTGAATGTTGGTTAGCTGGTTCCACAAAAAAGTCGTCGTTGTCCTCAAACAGGCTGACGTTCCCTGGCGGTTTGGGGGCTCTCTCTGCGCTCTGCTCCAAGGACTTCTTGTTTTCTTTTTCCACAAGAACGGAGGCGGAACTAAACACATCATTCCCACCTGTGAGTCAGAGCACTGAATAACTGACCGAACACTCTCGCGACAAAGATTAAGAGCTATTTAGGTCGTTTTGAACAGGGATTCAATTCATAGTAATCAGTGTCACAATCTAGTTGCAAAATTCCTGAACAGGAAAAAAGGACTAAATGAATCACCTCAGTTGTTTGCAACAGATCGTTATAACCAGCCTCAGAACGGACAACTTCCCCTGAGCAGCAAGATGGCATCTGACCTATCCCAGCACCGAAGCCATTTCTGGGGCATTAATGTCTCCAAGGACTTGAATCGAGCCAGTCTTAGAACCAGTCAGTGTAACATAAAACAGGAATATATTAAATACATAAAAACTAGCCAGGGAGGGAAGGGAAAGACTGTGCAGGCCTCCTACCGGCACACCCCAGGTTGGCCTGGGGACGTGTGTGTGTGTGTGTGTGTGTGGAAGCGTTGGGTGGGTGGGGGGGACCATCCTAGGGCCGGAGTCAGACAAGATGGTGGAACTCCATCCCCAGCTGGTCACTCTCTTTGTGGTGTGGCTGTCCCCGATAGTTACTCTGCAGTGTAGCTCTCCCCTGGGGGCTCTCTGCCCCCAGGAATGAGTATGAGGATCATGTCCCTCCTCCCTCTCCCCCCGCTTCCTTTCCATGTGATGGAAAACAATCCCATTCCAGGCAGAGCCCGTTTTCCTGGCACAACCAAACCCTGACCTTGCCTTGCATTATGATAAAAGGAAGCTGCCTACCAAAATTGGTGGTCCTAGTTCTTTACATTTAGGAGTTCTTGAATGAGACCCCTTGGAAACCCTGACCTTGCCTTGCATTATGATAAAAGGAAGCTGCCTACCAAAATTGGTGGTCCTAGTTCTTTCCATTTAGGAGTTCTTGAACGAGACCCCTTGACACAAACACATTACCTCAGTGTGCTTGTTACTATACTTAACATGGGCAACATGCTGTCTAGTATAAAAATTCAAGGTATTTTTATAAGATCTTCCCCACACAGATCAGCTTCCTGAGAGAAACTAAGAGGGAGTTACAGATCTCTCATCCCTCTTTTCCTCATGATCGAACAGAGAAGAACTGTCTGACCTATGAACAAGTTTAACCACCTCCTTCAAAAGAAACCCAACAAGCTAGAATGAAGAAACCACACAAAGGCACAATACTGTAGAGATCTAGCCTATTCTGTAAATGCAGCTCATACTACCGCTCAAAAAGAGGAAGAGGGCTGAGCTGTACCTAGGTAATGTGCATTTAGTCTGTGACTCACTGATCCAACCAACAAGAACTCAAATAAAGCTACTTCTGAAAAGCTGCTT